AAGGACGGGGACGAAGACGTATTAAGGGGGCGAGGTGAAAAACCCGGAGGGTCGTCTAATTCGCTTTTACAGCCGCGGCTCTCGCTCCTCTGATCAAAAAACGTCACCTGCGTACGGCAGTCGTCGCGGAGCGAAGAGCGACGCGGCCCTACGGTTGCCCGGTAATTCGAAAGAGATTTATGTGTCGCCGCGAGAGTTCTCGCCGCGCGCTGCGAGACACACGACGGAAAAAGGAGGAGCCGGAGACATTCGATGGCCGCGCGAGAGAAGCACGCGATTGCGAAAAGCATTCAATTTGCAATCGTATGAACTTATAAGGAGAACGTCCACTTGTGAGACACTTGAATTTTAAATATGCTGTCGCCCTCGATTTTTTTTTACTATTAAAGAGGTACGAGTTGAAGTAAAAAATTGTTTTAGACACCAACATGGCAACATGTAACTTCAACTCTTAAGAACATTAATTTGTAGAAATATTGGTATTTTCCTAGAGTTCAGTGTTCGGAGTAAAAGGATTGAAAAATCGCAAATATGCAGATATTTAATAAAATATTATATGATTTTTTCAATTGCAATTATGTATATTACATTATAGATACGTAATTACATCCATATGTGTAATTCAATATTCTGTAGGGTACTACCGTGATTACTGATTCAACAAGTTTGAACAGTATCATCAATTCCTTAGTGATTTTCTCCTCTCTCTCTCTCTCTCTCTCTCTCTCTCTCTCGTTCAAATGAACAAACAAATAAATAAATCATGTCGCGAGCAGAGTGGCCGACGCTAACATCAACATTTCAGAATCCCGAATATCCCCGTTGATCCCTGTCTGTTTTCCTTGCGCATCTGTCGAGTGGATATCGCGATGCCGTTCAGGACCCTCCAAGTTCTCTCGCGGGCTTAATATCAAAGAATCTTCCGGCGGCACACACGGTTAGAACATCTAGAGCGTTTTCAGCAAGCGGGAGCGAAGGAACGAAAGGAAGGGGGCAAGGTGGGGCAGAAAATCGAGAGAGAGAAGCGTAGGGTTGTAGTTTTGGGAAAAAGCAGGGCGATGGTAATCTTTCCTTTGGCCGATGTGCAGAATCACGCGTCACCGCGTCCGCCGTCGGTCGTTTCATATAGACATTCCTTTCTGCCTTCCGCCGTGCTTGTTCCTGTATCCTCTGCCCTTCCGGCCGTCCGTGTCCGCACGCACGCACGTACGCACGTACAAACGTAGCCATGTGTGCCGATCCTGAGGGATAAGAGAGAGAAAGAGAGACAGGGAGGAGAGGGAGGAAGGAAGGGGAGAAGAGAGAGAAAGAGCGAGAGAGAGATCGTCATCGTCCCCTCATTCGCCCGAGGTGATTCGCTCTCGAGATTGCGGATCGTCGAAATGAATTTATCGCTCGAGAATTTGCGTAAATCCCGGCGTAACGAGAAACAGGAAGAGTGGCTCCCGTCGCGCCGGATTTCGTCGAAACGATGCCGATGTCGGTGATAAGAGCGTGCCGCAAGGATGCTGCCGAGGTCTCAGATGGTGAGAGAGGCCTGCCAGGGGGATGTTAGAATCGAAGGAGGCAAGGATGCGATCGTTGAAGATTCTGAAGATGATTTTAAGTGGGAATATAAGAAATATTTTATATTGTATTTAACCCTTAAAGACTACACCTCAAATCTCAACCACTTGAAATTCTTCAAAAATTGACGTTTTTGGACAATTTAATATTAATTATTGACAATTTTTCTAATCCTATTATATATTCGTATATAATAGGGGTATTCAAATAAGTTAAAGTTTAATGGTTTGACAGGTTATGTCGGGTTAAAGTCGAGTAAAAAGTTAATTAATTAACTTTGGGCGCGCTACTCTTTAAGGTTATGCAAAATACATAAGTGACTCATTAACCTATCACATTAATCTTTGGGTTAAAAGTTTAAAAATTAACTTTTTACTCGACTTTAACCCGACATAACCTGTCAAACCGTTAAACTTTAACTTATTTGAATACCCCTTATATATTCTTCAGTCTTTTCTACCCTTGTTCCATGTATAATTTTTTAAGATTGGACCCAGCTTTATACGCGATCAAAGGTCCATATAGGGACCATGCAACCTTTAAGGGTTAAAATATTCAAAATATTTAAGATTTCGAAGACGTGATTGCAAGTGTCTAAAAATCCGAAAAGCTGAAAAAATGTGAGAGATTAAGAACGCACTAAGAATTACAAATTTTAGAAATTCAGAATTTAAGAGTTGAAGAAATGAGTTCAAGGACCTTAGATTTGATGAGTCTAAGGAAAGAAATTTAGAATCAACAAATGCAGAAATTAACGAGTCTTAACGATAAAAATCTCAAGATTTCGGTATCTACAAATTTCACTTCAGACTTCAGGAATTTAATGACTGTGTAAAGACTGTCCGCGAAATGAAGAATTTAAACGTTTAAGAGTTCAAACTTCTGCAAACTATAACATTCAACTCCTCAGAGGCTATATTTTAATAATCAAGGCAGTTGTACTTACACGTTAACAACACGATTCATAAGAAGCAAAGAGCAACAACGGTGTAACAGAGGGAGGAATTACCCGCGAGCTCTCGATTGCTCTCGTCGCGAGATAAATCGCGGCGCGAGCGAACAAGGCGATCGCTAGGTTGTCGATGGGTGCTCGCAGCAACACTCGTCGAGAGGGTGTGGGGAGCGAAGGAAGGGAGCACTTATATAAAGCGCGGTGATATATAAGGGATTTGTCTCCGCGGTACCGTCATACGTCATGTCGCAAATATTAACTCTGATACAGGCCATTCATTCACTTAATTACAAACAGCCGTGATTTAAGGGAGACCGTGCGGCGGGGGGTCTCAGGTCGGGGCACCAGCGCCAGCGTTTCGGTAGGTGTCCGAGGTGTGTAGCTGATACTGTGTAGCTTTCTTTACGATCCCTCATTTACACAACAGGGACTCGGGGGCCACAGTTCGCCGAACTGATTTCCGCCTCCTGCCCCCGCTGACCTCGACCGGGTTCCCCGCGACGTAGCGGCGATTTACGCCCAGATGCGGAAATACTCTTGCTTTGGAAAGAAAAAAAAATGGAACGCGCGGTATAAGTGTTCCAGGTGTTCTCATCTCCAAAATTTCCTGAATTATAATTATTCACTGCTGAACTGAAAATTAAGCATTGCAATCTTTTGAATCATTATATTTTGCGATAATTACTCTTTATATCACAAGAATTAAACACTGTAAAGAAAGCATATGTAACGTATGCTAGCAAGAGTAAAAATTTGCATCATAAAAAACTTACGGATGTTAAAAAAAAAGAAAATTAATTAAATGTAGGAGATTTGGGGCCGTAGGGCCAGTATTGATGAGGGATCGGAG